AAGCCATTACGACTATGTAGCACTTGGAAGGGGTCAGGATAAGGATTTGGGATAGGACGGGGGGAGGAGGAATGGTTCCCAACTACTTGGACATCTGGGGATTAAACGCTGATGTGCATAAAGTGAGAACGTTGCGTTACCGTCCAGCCCAAGTGGTTGGAGAGAAACCTGCAGTTCCATTGAATCGTGCATTTTCAGGTTGGGAAGTTTGCTGTACAACTTTGTATAGTGTGTCCATTGGTAACATGTTAGATGACTTGGTTCCTTTGGCATCATTCGTCCTAGTTCTTTCTGATCTTATATTGGTCTCTTTATTGCAGTATAAGAGCTCTTGAATATTCTTACATAATGCTATAAAAATTACCGAGCCTAGTGCTCTTTCGTAATAGTCTATGTACTTAAGTGTGTAATTCTAGCTCAACATGCGAAACGTATACATAAACATGCAAGTTAGCATCATATGGGAAGCTAGTGAACATGAGTGGTCTTTAAAAGGGGATCTTTTACAGGTTTTTATAAAGAACATTTACTAGGTTATCTTGAGATGATAAATTAAGGCATCTTGAAGACTTGATTTAAAACTATTCTGTATAAGAAAGGACTAGTGAGGGATAGGATCAGTACATGTGAGACTTGGGATGCCCCTTTCAATGAGAAAATAGAACAAAGTGCAGTGAGAAGCAATGAAAAAAGTAATTGAACAACTCAACAAATTTGGAATAGAATTTTGTTTACAAAGTAGAGAGCTGGCAGATTAGGCATGAGCTAGACCACTCAATAGAGCTAGACCATTGCACTACACTTACACCAACCAAAACTCATTGTTGCCCACAATTGCACCATTTTCTTGCCTTGAGAGATAACCTTTACAATATCTTTGCTGACTTTGATCACAACATACCTAGCCTATAATAAAACAAAACTAATAACCTCATAATCCCTGTTAGATAACAGAATAGGAAAATACTTGATAGTACCGTTTGGTATGTTAGCCCAGTATTCTGGTACCTTAATTATATATGCAAAAAAGTTATTTTGGTGCATACCCAGCTGTTTTGCTTTAAAAACTTTGTTTTTAAGGGAAGGCAAAGTAATATTGTTTTACCAGGAATTTGTTTGCCAAAAGTGGCTTGTGTGGCATTGTGCAAATCATCAAATATTGGAGTATTTATAAATTAGATAAGTGTGAATGGTGACATGACAGCCCTTCAGATACTTTATTGAACATGACATGGCCAGGGCCCACCAGTTGGTAAATAATTTAATGCAAAATAGAAATAAATTATTGGGGGATGAAATTTTATTAAAAGCATGACTTTTTTTTACCAACTTTTTCATTAGCACCTTATTATGACTTGCTGCATTCAGTACCTTGCATTGAAAGGTGTCCAATGAATTGCATCTTTGTTATAGATATGATGATTACCGTCGCAGAAGTGAGTCGCCAGCATTCAAGAGACGTTCACGCTCCCGATCATAAAGGTAAACCAGTGTGTTGGTCTCATAGAAAAGTGGCATTAAAATTGGTCCAGCTGTGTTTAAAGGTAATGTCAAAAGGCAAAGATTTTCTAAAGTCCTGCTTAATGGTATTTGAATTGTGTGGTTTCTATGGTACTGAAATTGGTTCTTCTTTGAGATTATAAGCTGCTCATTTAAAGAAATCTCCAGGTGGACTGATTTTTATGAAACTAGTTTGGTGGGTTTGTTGCTGGTCGACAGGCTAAACTGAATTTTAATATAGGTGAAAGATGGTAAGTCTAACTTCTAGGTCAAATCTTGTATGGTTAGTGGTTTTTGATAAACATAAGATTAATTTAGCAATGCTACTTTTTAAATGGGGATGTGACTTAAATAATATTGAGTCAAGGAAATTGATGATAGTACAAAGAAAAAAAATATATGTGAAGGGATACACAATGAACATTGAGTGTTCAAGTAACTGTCATGTAATATTGAGTAGCTAATTTCTGAGGATTGGGTAGAGTTAGTCAAATAAGCGAATGTTCTTTTAACCTTTAGATACGTATGCAAAGCAATAGTGTGGCATAAAATTGTCTATTCATAGCCCAGTCGATAGCTACGGCCTCACATGCGAGAGGACTGCGGTTCAAGACCCATACAGTCTAGGTAAATGGAGTGTGCCATAAGCCCTTAACATATTTATTTAATGGTTTCAAAAGGTTCCAGAGTTGTGTGCAAATGATATATTAATAAGCTGTTTGGCTATTAGAGAAAACGTAAATTTCATGGCAAACATTTGTTAACTATTCCCAAGTTGATCGGATAATAAATGGATTTTATACAAATATTTTTTCTCGTGACTTCCGAGGGCGGCACGCCAGCGTAGTCTGTAAGAATATTGGTGACGAATGTTGTCACCAATGTGCGAAAGTGTTAAGCAGAATATTTTATGCATAGAAGTTTGAATGTATTGTATTTTGAATGTATTTGAGTGCGAAGAGCCTTCAGGGAATGTGGACAATGGTAGAGCAATTGTGGCATAAAGAGGAGGAAACGCTAATATGTAAACATTAAAGTTTGAAGCGTGTTCCAAGTATCTGGTCGGTAATACACAGTGGAGGAAAATGTAGTGGAATAGGTCTGGTAATGAAAGTGACTGGTGTTAACACCTTTGTGGTGTTAGAAAGTATGGAAATTTAATGTTATGGAAAGAATTTGAACACGTGGCATTGTAAGTTTGAAGCATTTTGGTTGGATTGAAGAGAGCAGAGGAAAGTTTGTTCATTGGATCTACGTATTTTGTGAGGGGGGGGGACGAAAGGGAATTGAGGTGTTAATAGTACTAGATGTGGATATCAGTTTAGAAAGGCATGAATGTTAATTTTATTTAACTTGCAGGGTGCACTCTTTACCTTATGTTATAAATTGCTTGGGTGCTGCCAAAATGTGTACAGTGAGTAATTTCTTTTAATGTTCTATTTTAACGTTAAGCTTGAAAAGTGTTGGGTAAATGAATGCACAAGTTAGATTACATAGTGTATATATGTAGATAGGGGGGGGGGCATGAAATGATATGTAGATATGGGGGGGGGGGGCATGAAATGGCAAGAATGCTGCTAAATGATACCTGTATCATATTGTCATAATTGTGGCATAGAGGAGGAACTTTGTGAAATTGGAAAATGGCTAACTTTTTTTTTTTTAAGATAATTTAAAAAAAAATTAAAGAAAGACCCTTGAAAGAATGTTGTGGCCAAAATAAAGAAAATATAGGTGTTAATAAATGGACTACTTTGGCATTTGTTTAGCACTTAGTATGGCTTCTTTTAATAACAAACTATACAAAAACATGGCAAATCTATTTAAAATTTGTCTTATAAGATGTACATGAATTTTGTAAATTATGCATTGGGGACTAGCCCAAGAAGTTCGCCATTCAGTTACTGTTAATTGTTTATGGTATGGTTTATTGGTGAACCCTTGAATAGTATTTGCAAAGTTATGACCGTTGTCCGTTGTCTCGTTAAGGATCATGCATGTGGGGGGTTAAGAGTTTGAGCATTTGATGGGGGGGGGGGGTCATTACTACTTCACTGTTTTTTTTAATATGATTATACAGTACTAGTAGAATATTATATTTACAAAATATATACATGCATGGCATTTGAACATTTTCTCAAATTATGGAATTGGGTGGCTAAATTGTTTTAAGTTGAAGTATATTAGTTCAATTGTGGTAAGAGTAATAATTCTATGAACCCTAATATTTATAGAGGTTTTATTAGGTTTCATTTACTATGCATTCTTAATTTAATATTAACATTTGCAGACACCAGTGGGCTATCCCTGTTGGTAAGGAAACTTGGTTTGATAATCTGAAAAGCTCATGATTTAATTAGCGAGTTAGGCTGGCCAAAGGCACAGTAAAATCATGCTTTGACCTTTCTGCGGTCTTCAAGCTAATCTGTTGTTGGTTAATGTGTGTACAGTAAGCCATGACTGGCTGTTCCCATGGTAACTAAAGGGTTTGAGGCTAATTCATTGAAATGTTTATTTTATGATTCTTTAATGCATTATAAACTTATTAAATGTATAATTATTTTAAGTGCCATCATTGTTTTGTGTTTATCAAAATAAACAGGTGTTTGTGGCAGAACTTGGATATGTAAGACTGGTACACTCTAACACTTTAATGCCCCTTGTAGTTTTAAACTTCTAAACATACTTTTTCACAAGATTCATATTTTGTAAAGTAGTGAATCACATAATTTCAATGTACTGACTGTCATGCTTCAGCACCCTACTCATTACCATAAAAAATAATTCCCAGGCTTTAGAGAAGGATGGAGAAGCAGTGGTTGGTCTGTTGATCTTTTGTGGTCTTCAGATCTTACAACATTGTTGCTCAAATTGTGAACTGTTTGATTATTGCTCAAGTTGTGCAGGGAGGCTTGCTTGCAGAATTTCAGTGGATACAAATCTGATTTAATGACACCTACAATTATTTGTAGAGCATGAAATTGGTAGACATGGGATGATTGGCTGTTGCCATGTAATAATATCAGCCCAGGGCTGTTAAACTATGTAATGTATAAAATTTAATGACTTGTAATGATATTTTTTGTTTAAAGGCATTTTTCATGCACATTTGTTATTGAAAACACTTGTGGTGATTTAATTAGCAAAACATGCAAAGGGATATACTGTACATAAAATTAAGAACATAGTCCTAGTGCTTGTCTTTTGATTAACATCCATATCACGAAAACCTTGAAAATCTAGTAGTGTGGTGTACAGGTGTTGGTGGCTTTTAAATTGTTGAAAAATTTTGTCCGATGAATAAAGGATAGTAAATTTATGAAATAATTTGCATCTTTTGCAACAAGTCTTCCACTAAGTGACTGTTGGAACCCAGTGACCTGATGCTGTATCGATTCCTTAAAATTGGAATGAAATGGGTGTGGGGTGGTGAATTAAGCAGTGATTATTTAGTATTATTCCTACCTGATCCCCCCCTCCTTTTTTTTTTCTTTTTGCAGGAGCCAGCTCTCGAACCACGACCTTTCGTCATGACTTTAAACATGTTTGTACTTGGGTCTGTAAGAAGTGTGCATCAGATCTGTGTCCTAATGCTGAAATGTTTACTAAAAAATTTAAACAATTCATGACTTTAGTTTTAGTACCAACAATAAAGTTTGTTTTATTTTATATATTGTTTTGTACTCTATTCCCATGTGCAAATGACATGTCAGGTCACATGCAGGCCTATGATATAAATTTTTTGTTTATTCCTTGCATAAGTACGAATCTCGATAATACAGTTTCTAGTGTGAAATACTGTGTTAGTTGAGTTTATATTTTTTTCCAAAGTTTATGCAGGCTTGTGTGAATGTGCGTGATAGGTGTACCTTTCTCAACACTATTGTAAAATTTAGTTATAATTAATAGGAAGGTAAGGGGCATTTCAAACTAGAATAAGGAATTATGAACAATAAAGTTTCACAAATATATCTGCATCTTATTTAATATCATTAAGGGATTTACCACATTAAATATGGGTCTCCTTTTAATTGGATGTTTTTATTTATGAGGTGGAGAGAAAGGGAAGAAATTGTATGGGTGAAGATCTTCCAAAAAGACCTATGCTTGTTTAAAGCATCTATGGTTGTAGAGTAATCATGAGCTTTTAGGCAGTGATCAGTGTCATGGCAATCGTACAGGCAGGAAGTGAAAGAGAATAACACTAATTAGGAAATTATGTGGATTTTGTACGAGCCCAAAATGTACCTGACTTGTGGATAATGTTAGTTAACATGTTTAAAATGGCTGGATTTTACTGGTGTAGGAGTATAAATGCCAAGGATGTCTCGTCTTCACATCGTCAAATGTAGTGTACTGTATGTTTATGTGCATTTTGCCTGAGGGTCGGTATTGCAAGAAAAATATGATGGGGATAACCATATGGTTTAATTTTGATCTAAGGAAAGCCTTCTATAAACATTGGCGTAATGCTTAAAATACTTACTAAAATGTATATGGCAAAAAGCTGCCATTTGGGATGTATTCCTTAAAGGGTAATACCGTTTTTACATGATAGAAATGACTTGGTATATTCAATAATACTGTTGTCAGATGTGATGTTTTCCCTTGTCATCTGAAACAATACAGTAATAATACATAGTATTAACTACAGTATTACTGTAATTATTTTTACATGAGGAATGGCTTGGTTCATTCATTAATACTATTGTCAAATGTAACATGCTTTCCCTTTTCATCTGAACCAACAACTGGGAACTTAAGCTTGCTTGCATGTAGGCTATACTATACTTGTTATTTAGTTTAATGCCCTAGTTTATAGGATAAACTACGGCTTGACAATTTCTTTGCAACAGCAGTTACTAGATAACTAGCTTTTTTAATTTTTATTGCAAGTCTTGACCTTTTGTGTAGCTGCCTTGATTAATAATTAAAAATTCTCGTTAGTGTCAAGTATAGTTGCGCTGATGATTTAAGCACATGTTGGAGGATGGAGAGATGATGTTTCCATCCATCTTGGACCATTATCAAGTCTATTGGTACTGGAGTGACTGAAATAATGTAGTTTCTCAATTTTCTGATTTGTGGTTTGGTCATTGTATCTTCAGCCATGTTGCGACTCGTTTGCATGTAGTCATACTGGCTAGGCACATTTTTGTCAAGTATAATACTAACTTAAATACTTGTATTTAATAATATAGACATGTTGCAACTTTACTATGTTCAATATTTAAACCATATAAATTCCATTAAACTGATGCCTTACATTTTCCACATTCGAACCAAGTGTAGCCAAGGTATGCCAATGGTTTTCTTGGGAAAATACATTCATTACGCACATTAATACCATCTCGATAGGCATTAAAACAGCCAGCAGAAAATTTAGTACAACTAAATGGGATTTTATTTTATAAAGTTGAATGGAAAAGGATTAAATTGGCAAAGTCTAGGAGTGGGGATGCTAACTGGCACTTGAATTTGTATGCATGTAACTTAGCAAGCTGTGGAGAAAAGTACCCGGTCAGTTAAGACCGGGTACTTGTTTGAAGGCTGGGCTATAGGTGGAGTGTTTGAAGCTATGTACAGACGTACAGTAAAACTTTTTGGACATTTAAGTATATAATTGGCTTAACCGAGAACCATGTTAGGTTTGAAAATTTTAAGAAAAGTGGATCCAAATTCAAATGGTAAGTCTTTGTGGGAACTTGCAGAAAGTATACATGTTGAGCATTAAAAGGGCAGAGTGGAGTCAGTTTTATAAAAAAATTGAAGTTTCAAACAAATTCCCCAATCCTTTGGGTACTGTTGTGATAGTTGTAGAGCTACCAAATGGTTAAAGGTGTATTAGGAGTGAACAGCTGACACTGAATATTTTTCTCTGAATACTGTTATTTCCTGGCAGGTGTCTTCCCATCCCAATGAGTGGGGAAGCAACATAAATGCCTGTAAAATTGATTTAATTGCATGTCTGTTAATTGTGCTCTTAATACTCTCATTAGTATAATGTTGATTTATGATTCTTGTCATATCTGAATAATGAATAATTTTTTTTCTTATAGAAAGCATACAGTTTTGAAGCCCATTGTATGCATAGCATTTTGAGAAGGTATACATAATTTTAGCAATTAGCAAATACTTGTACTAAAGTTGCAGTAATTTTATATTTTGCTGTCTTGAACAATGTTATAAATTCCATGTGAGCGTTTATAATGAATGCCAGTACTTTTCAAAACTAAGTTAACGTGTAATTATAAAATATAGCTGGTAGTAAATGTTACATTGCCAACTTGTAATTGTTTTATTTGAGAATTTTTGTAATTGTGAAAATTATAGATAGATCATTCACATTGAATATAAAAAGTTAGCTATTTGCTATATACTGTATTGTGATTCCAGCTAATTTTATGATAAGCCTGTGTGTGTATATATATATATATATGTATTGCTTTATTATTATTGAACTATGTAGACATGTGAGCATATATGGGTATATAGTACACTGATTGCATAAGTATGTCAAACATTTATTAAAATATGGACGAGGAAAAAATTTGTATGATAATGGACCCAATATCATAATAGATAATCTTACAATTTATGTACTTATTTGGAGTCAATAAAATGTTCCTCAAATATTCTTTTTAAATACATGTAGTGCTTTATTAATTTGGTAATTAGAGTAGCAAGTAAGGTATGGAAATATGGCTATTGATCATAAAAAAAATAACAGCACAGCTAAGGATGGCAAATTTCTTGACCAAAGTTGGTCCAGGCAAAGCAATATTATAATTAGTACTTTACCTGTCATTGATGTCTTACTATATTGGTAATAAGGTAGTGGGAAAAAAACAGAACCCTACTGCAGAAAACAAATATTGTTCGGTTCATTCATTCTATTATACAAAGAATATTTATTTTTCATTAAAATATAAATTTTGCCATCTTTCCATTTTTTTGTTCAAAACTGGGCTGCATATATTCAAGATGGCAGAAGAAAGGCTATTGCAACTAAAAGAAAATTGAGCAGTTACCACTGAGCGAGATACAAAACTAGTTTCAATTTGAGTGCACGTTTCATAATATTTTTAGTTGATTACCTAGAGCTATTTAAGAAAACTTAAATAGCCTATTGACTTTGTGGCAAAAGATTATAATTTCTGCCACATATTTCATTTCTGCACTTGGTAAAGCCCATGGTGTTTTGTCCACTTCTATCCCGGCTTGGTGCCTTCTTTGCTAATTACTTGCTTGTTGACTTCTACCACCATTACGCCACCCTCATTCCTTACATAAAGATTACTAAAGGCTGGAGTGTGTCAATCTCATCCAGTGAAAATCTAGCATACATGCAATTATGAAGAATCTATTCACGGTAAAAAGTTTTCCAAGAATGTACCTTGTGTACAGATTGAAAGCACTATGCAAGTATGCTTGTTGAAAGTTTGGTAAAGTAATACGATATGATCTGATTTTAATGTTACATTAGCAATATTGAATATGTTAGCAACATGAACAAACTTACATGTTGCATATAGTACATTGGTACAGCAGCCACTTACTACCATCAAACTATTTAAAGTGACTAATATACAGTATATGAACATCACTGAACATTTGAAAAAATATGGAAGTGGTTTGGATTGAACTCATTTGTCTAGTAATACTTATGCTTGAAATATTTAATTGTAAGCCCATCATGGTACAATGGGCAGTGGGATTTTTTGGTAGTCTACTGATGCAAGTTCAATTCAACCCTTGCCATACTATTTTAAACAAATATTTATGACAATTACATGTAGTGCTTTAGCAAGTATCACTTGTTCACTGGCTTACTAGTATTTAATATTTATAACAATCACTTCACAGTCTCCATTAGCAACAAAGACAAAATAATCTTTAGTACTCTACTTGAATTATCAATTACCCAAAAATGATTGTCTAGTTTACCAGAAGAAAAAGATACGACTGTACTGCAAACTAAATTTTAGGTCTCTTGCATGACAAATACAAGCATCATTTTAAAATATCCAATTATGAAAGAGCAGTGTTCAAAAGTACCTGCAGTGGAAATCAGGTTGAGCTGTTGAAGTATGTGGGATGGGTATAAGAAAGAAGTGTATGGGATAAATGAATGAAATGTAACACATTTATGTGGTGTGCATATATTAGTTAAATGCCTGAGAATCACTTAATGAGACTGTAGTACAAGGGTGAAATATGGGCATTATAAGATCAAGTAGACAACCAGTATCTTTGAAGAGAGAAGTGGAACAATATATGAAAAGGATGAATTGGATTTGTCCCAGGAAAAAGTAAGGTGCCAGGGCAATATAATTAAACTGCAATAACTTTTCTTGCCATTACTAAAACACACTGAAAAAAGGAAATGATGCTTGCTCTGGATTCATAAGATCTGCAATGAAACATGCAGTGCCAGCCAAGCCCTCATAGAGGCTGTAAGGTGTATCTGGTGTGCGTGCCTGCTGGAATTCTCTAGTGTAGAGAAACTTGAAAAACTGCATAGCTCTGTGAAGATGGAGGGCATCACCAGTCAGTCGGTAGAGTGTGAGGAAAACATAACCACTGCCTGCTATCCCATGACATATGCCTGTAAAACATTTCTTTATTAGTTGTCATTGTTTACCTCCATAAAGGTAAGATAAACATATGTACTGTATTGTAGTTAGAAAAAAACATTGTATTCAGTATAAAATGTATTTGTAAGTTAATATTTTGGAGGGTGGAGAATGGATTAATTCAATTCCCTTTATTTCTTATGGGAAAAATCACTTCGACTTACGATCTGTCTCTGGGAAAGGATTACCATTGTAAATTGAGGCCCCACTGTACAGTACAACCTCGATTCAATGAATTATAAGGGACCAAACCAATTTATTGCAACTCTTCCCTCCATGATGCATTTCCCATGCCCTATGAGCTAATTTCACTTTGCAAAAAAAAAATTTCAACCTTTAATAGACAACTACCAAATGAATACCTCTACACAAAAGTTTAACAATATTTAGTTCACTTCTCACATCCCCAGCCTCAAAACTTACTTTCAAAGGGAAGCAGGGCCATACCTGAGTGAACAAAATCCTTGCCAACTCAAAATTCAAACAAACATATAATTTGGTTTTAAATATTCTCAATAGCTTTCCCAAGGCTCCCATAGTCTCTTTTGATGATGAGTCCATCATCATAAACGTGATTGGAGCCATATCAAGAGTGTTACCATTTATACCCCTAATATTTCCCACGCTGTATGAGCTGATTTCACCAAGTGAAATTTTAATTTCAACCTGTCATGTGAAGAACAATTACCAAGAGAACCTGCCTGTAAATAACTACAACTACATCTATTATATTTCCCATGCCCTAGTCTTGAAACCTCATTTTCAAAGAAAAAAGGACCCATATTAGTGAATGAGAACTGGGGAATTTCAAAATTTAAATGAACTAAAGAATTTGGTTTTAAATATGCTCAATGGCTTTGCTGAAGGCCACTTAGTATTTCTTGTAATGTGCCAATCTACAAAAATCATTAAAAATGTGATTGAGTGTGTATTAAGAGTTACCATTTGAAACAGCCTGCAAAATGGAGCCGGGGAAGTATCTACCTCGAATGCAAGCTGCAGTGGCTCCGCCAGTGCCGCACGATATGAAGCAACAGTATTTGGCATAAGATGCCAATCAAGAAACAACCAGGACAAGGAGGACAGAACCACCTGCTCGGAAACAAAGGAACAACACCTAAGAGAAGGAAGCGATGGAATGACTGCCAAGAAATCTACAGATGGGACACCATCAAATCAGCCATTGAACACCTTTAAGATAGCAATACATCCATGTCAGACATGAAAGCAGAGAAGTTCAAACCAGCTAAGTGCATCACTGAACTGATCTCCTGGAAGAGGTAGAAGCGTGGAAAGACTAGTTTGATTTGGACAATGAGCAAGCAGCGCCAGAAACCAAGGCTGGGCCAGCCACCAAAGAGCCAGAAGGATCACCTCTTCCCTCGAAGGATTCCAAAAGCACTATGACTTGTACTAATCCATTATTACTTTGTAATTTGCGTTTAGTCAATATTCAGCTTCCATTATATTATACTGAGTGGACAGCGCGCGGGACTCGTAATCCTGTGACCCAAGTTCGATTCCCGGCACTGGCAGAGACAAATGGGCAGGGTTTCTTTCACCCTGATGCTCCTGTTACCTAGCAGTAAATAGGTACCTGGGAGTTAGACAGCTGTTAAGGGCTGCTTCCAGAAGTGTGTGTGTGTGTGGGTTAAAAAAAAAAAAAAAATAGTAGTTAGAAACAGTTGATTGATTGGCAGTTGAGAGGCGAGCCGAAAGAGCAGAGCTCAACCCCCGCAAGCACAACTAGGTGAATACTGATTTATAAGCTCTCCAAGTAGGAAGACATGGTTATGTTTATTACTGTTCTCTTACCTGGTCCTTTCTTAAGGAGTCCTTTGTGCCATGTAATTTCTCCACACTTTATACAAGCCTGTAGGTATCTTTTATCTTCATAAACCATGTATGCCTTGGCTAGTAGATGCACAGTGCCTGAAAACAGTCATACATCTTAGAAAACAGTAATTAAAAGTTGGCAACATTAGGGTTCTTCTTAAATGAGCAACCCATCTTCCGAATTGACAGTACGTTTTAATACTAAGTGTAATAAGTACATTTCCTGACTGTCATACATAGTACATAATTGCACTTATGGGGCTGTTACATTTACCTCCCCATTTAATTCTCGATTTCTGTTAAGACACTCAAAATTTTAGGATAAAGTTTTAAAGTTCAGTTCACTATCCACAAGTTTTAAATATCAGGAATTTTTTTTCAGTTTTATTAAACAATAGATATTTTATACAAAATTTGAAAATATCCAGAGTTACTTTACAATTTTTTTAAATACTTTAGTTTTGTTTTATAAAGCTGTAATATCAATATAGCTATAGGTTATGTAATAATTGTAATTAAAAACCAATAAAATGCTTATCTTCCAAAACTAAAACGGTTAGGTTAGGTCGTGGTTTTCTATTCAGCTTTTCAGGTAAACTCAAATATTCACAATATATTTAACGGTACGATTTAATACTAAGTGTAAATAAGTACACTTCCCGACTGTCATAAATAGTACATAATTGGACTTATGGGGCTGTTACATTTACCTCCCCATTTTTGGAGGACGGGCTTTAAATGAAATAACTACAACTTCAACTCATCCCCGTGGGCAAAAGGGAAATTGGGTGAGTTACAGGGATACACTGGGTCCCCATTAGAAAATGGATTTTCATTACATTCAGTGCTTGATTTTTATCATTATTAATAGCTGGCTGCAATGTTGACATTTGCTGTCTCTCTACATGTTCATTCTTTGGCTAGTTTTTCTTGAAATTTTATTACAATTTCATGACAAAATGATAAAATTTAATGACAAAACATCATGACAAAATTTAGCTATATTTCCTCCTTGTAACTGAAGATTCTGGACTACGAAGCATAGTGATCAAATTGACATTCTTTGATAGCTTAAGGTTTAATTGAGTGTTTTGTAGTCAGTGCTAATAATTACATTATCATTATGACTCATGCATGTTAACTTAGTGGAGGAAAATTTTCATAAGAGCCCCTCTGGAGAAACAATCTGATCAAGTTGATAATATTAGTCTTATGGGTCCGATCCACAATGCCACAGTGTAACCTTCTGTTTGGTTGAGTAATGTGCAACTGGAAGCACTTTGTAACAGCCTGTTGTAAGTATCTGAGACAAGAGGCTTACTGTTTGAGGTGTTTACAGTGCGGTGATTGGGAAGCTGAATATTCTATGTTCAAATAGTTCGTTGTAAGGTATGCAAAACTTGTTTCGCCACTTAATTGAAGGAAGACTAGGTGAATAATATATGCATAATAAACACAATTTAGCATATATACTGTAGCCCTACCCCCAAAAGCTGTAAATACTAAGACAATACTGGAAAACAAATCCTCAGAATTATAGGAGGATCTCTGACAAGTTACTAGCTTCCTGTACCTGTCAAGGCCACTAGAGATGGTGGCCCTCAGGTAAATGTAGTTATACATCATGTACCTGGGGCTCCGTGACACCAGTGCACTAGCTCCTCTTCTGGTGATCGCTGTCCGTCTAACTCATCCATTGCACAGGGAAAATTTCCACTGGATGTCTGTAGTGCAAGCAGAGCATCCAAGGATTTCTGAACAAGTTCTTTAGCCTGTGGCCGACTGGATAACCATGTTGGGAAGCTGAAACACAAAAGTTGTTTAACACGGCCTGTTATTTTATTCATGCACCATGCAGAACTGTGCAGTATAGTAAATTCCTGTTTGAACAGATTACAATAACCAGTTCTGGACTCTCCTGGTGAAACTGATTTTCTGTAGCTTTCTTTTTTTACAAAACCATTTACTGTACCAAAGTGATAATTTTTTTAAATAGTATGTTATTAATGTTAGAACATGTATTTGAGTATATCTCAACACAAATAATATATACTGTAGTTGTGTTTATAGTCAATTTGTTATTTATTAACTATCTTACTGTACTCCTTTGCAAAAACTAATAGCAGTCACTCTTATAATAGCAACTTTTAAGGAACATGACTATCCAGAACTCAAATAAAATGACTCTTCAATACTATACTCACCTAGGTGTGCTTGCGGGGTTGAGCTCTGGCTCTTTGGTCCCGCCTTTTAACTGTGTGGTCAATGATTTTCCATACTCAAAACTTTAATTTTGTTAAAAATATCAAGTAACATTTTATCTATATTAAAACTATATTTATCTATATTAATACAATAGTTAAGAATATGTGGGCCCATATCTGTTCTCAGAATAAGACTCATAGCGCTTTTCAGTGCTAAACTCGTCATTTAGCACAGTGATCAAACCATTTCTTAAATTTAAGTTTATATGAAATTTAGTGAGAACTGAGAACCAGTCTGTTGGTATAGTGGTAAGACACTCGCCTGGCATTCCGCGAGCGCTTTGTCATGGGTTCGTATCCTGGCCGGGTAGGATTTACTGGGCGCAAATCCTTAATTGTAGCCTCTGTTTAACTCAACAGTAAAATGAGTACTTGGTTGTAACAACGATTATTCGCGGTAGTGATCGTATTCCAGGGACCTTCCCGAAACGCTACACGTACTAGTGGCTGTACAAGAATGTAACAACTCTTGTATATATCTAAAAAAATTAGATTTCATTAAATGTTATCTTATTTACAAGTACAATACAGTACTGTACCTGGTCAAAGAAATGTCTGTTTCATTTCACGGACCTGCTATCAAATGCAATCATTCCTACACTCAAAATTAATTCTTCTGTTGCATCTCATTATCCAGTGGACTGGAGTCTGTTTAAGTGGAACTCCACCATATTGTATAATATATTGCTATCTGTAAATCAACCTAATGTTATAGAATGGATCAAGGACATGTAGATTTCTACTTACGTGTACTGTAATTTATATTAATCAATTTACGACATTATGAACTAATTTATGGCCAATTATTTAAATTCCTTCTCTTATGCACTGGCGGAAATTACTTCAAAGTCCTGTAGTATTAATTCTTAAAATTTATGTTGTTACAATACAACAGGTTCATTAAAAAAGTTATATTAATATAATTAAACTATGGTAATTACACTTTGTTTATATATATGTATGTATGTGTATATATATATATATATATATATATATATATATATATATATATATATATATATATATATATATATATATATATATATATATATATATATATATACATATATATATACATATATATATACATATATATATATATATATATATATATATATATATATATATATATATATATATATATATATACATATATATATATATATATATATATATATATATATATATATATATATATATATATATATATATATATATATATATATATATATATATATATACATATATATATATATGTCGTACCTAGTAGCCAGAACTCACTTCTCAGCCTACTATTCAAGGCCCGATTTGCCTAATAAGCCAAGTTTTCCTGAATTAATATATTTACTATAATTTTTTTCTTATGAAATGATAATGCTACCCTTTTCATTATGTATGAGGTCAATTTTTTTTATTGGAGTTAAAATTAACGTAGATATATGACCGAACCTAACCAACCCTACCTAACCTAACCTAACCTATATATATAGGTAAGGTTAGGTTAGGTAGCCAAAAAAAGCTAGGTTAGGTTAGGTTAGGTAGGTTAGGTAGACGAAAAAACATTAATTCATGAAAACTTGGCTTATTAGGCAAATCGGGCCTTGCATAGTAGGCTGAGAAGTGAGTTCTGGCTACTAGGTACGACATATATATACATATATATATATATATATATACATATATATATATATATATATATATATATATATATATATATATATATATATATATATATATATATATATATATATATATATATATATATATATATATATATATATATATATATATATATATATATATATATATATATATATATATATATATATATATATATATATATATATATATATATATATATATATATATATATATATATATATATATATATATATATGTCGTACCTAGTAGCCAGAACTCACTTCTCAGCCTACTATTCAAGGGCCCGATTTGCCTAATAAGCCAAGTTTTCCTGAATTAATATATTTACTATAATTTTTTTCTTATGAAATGATAAAGCAACCCTTTTCTCTATGTATGAGGTCAATTTTTTTTTTATTGGAGTTAAAATTAACGTAGATATATGACCGAACCTAACCAACCCTACCTAACCTAACCTAACCTATATTTATAGGTAAGGTTAGGTTAGGTAGCCAAAAAAAGCTAGGTTAGGTTAGGTTAGGTAGGTTAGGTAGACGAAAAAACACTAATTCATGAAAACTTGGCTTATTAGGCAAATCGGGCCTTGCATAGTAGGCTGAGAAGTGCGTTCTGGCTACTAAGTACGACATATATATATATATATATATATATATATATATATATGTCGTACCTAATAGCCAGAACGCACTTCTCAGCCTACTATTTAAGGCCCGATTTGCCTAATAAGCCAAGTTTTTATGAATTAATGTTTTTTCGTCTACCTAACCTACCTAACCTAACCTAACCTAGCTTTTTTTGGCTACCTAACCTAACCTTACCTATAAATATAGGTTAGGTTAGGTTAGGTAGGGTTGGTTAGGTTCGGTCATATATCTACGTTAATTTTAACTCCAATAAAAAAAAATTGACCTCATACATAGAGAAAAGGGTTGCTTTATCGTTTCATGAGAAAAAAATTATAGTAAATATATTAATTTAGGAAAACTTGGCTTATTAGGCAAATCGGGCCTTGAATAGTAGGCTGAGAAGTGAGTTCTGGCTACTAGGTACGACATATACATATATATACATATATATATATATGTCGTACCTAGTAGCCAGAACGTACTTCTCAGCCTACTATGCAAGGCCCGATTTGCCTAATAAGCCAAGTTTTCATGAATTAATTGTTTTTCGACTACCTAACCTACCTAACCTAACCTAACCTAACTTTTTCGGCTACCTAACCAAACCTAACCTATAAAGATAGGTTAGGTTAGGTTAGGTAGGGTTGGTTAGGTTCGGTCATATATCTACGTTAATTTTAACTCCAATAAAAAAAAATTGACCTCATACATAATGAAATGGGTAGCTTTATCATTTCATAAGAAAAAAATTAGAAAAAATATATTAATTCAGGAAAACTTGGCTTATTAGGCAAATCGGGCCTTGAATAGTAGGCCAAAAAGTGAGTTCTGGCTACTAGGTACGACATATATATATATATATATATATATATATATATATATATATATATATATATATATATATATATATATATATATATATACATATATATATATATATATATATATATATATATATATATGTTGTACCTAGTAGCCAGAATGCACTTCTCGGCCTACTATGCAAGGCCCGATTTGCCTAATAAGCCAAGTTTTCCTGAATTAATATATTTTCTCTAATTTTTTTCTTATGAAATGATAAAGCTACCCATTTCATTATGTATGAGGTCAATTTTTTTTTATTGGAGTTAAAATTAACGTAGATATAAGACCGAACCTAACCAACCCTACCTAACCTAACCTAACCTATCTCTATAGGTTAGGTTAGGTTAGGTAGCCGAAAAAGTTAGGTTAGGTTAGGTTAGGTAGGTTAGGTAGTCGAAAAACAATTAATTCATGAAAACTTGGCTTATTAGGCAAATCGGGCCTTGCATAGTAGGCTGAGAAGTGCGTTCTGGCTACTAGGTACGACATATATATATATATATATATATATATATATATATACATACATATATATATACATATATATATACATATATATATACATACATATATATATACATATATATATACATATATATATACATATGTCGTACCTAGTAGCCAGAACGCACTTCTCGGCCTACTATTCAAGGCACGATTTGAATAATAAGCCAAGTTTTCCTGAATTAATATATTTTCTCTATTTTTTTTCTTATGAAATGATAAAGCTACCCATTTCATTATGTGTGAGGTCATTTTTTTTTTATTGGAGTTAAAATTAACGTAGATATATGACCGAACCTAACCAACCCTACCTAACCTAACCTAACCTATCTTTATAGGTTAGGTTAGGTTAGGTAGCAGAAAAAGTTAGGTTAGGTTAGGTAGGTTAGGTTGCCGAAAAACAATTAATTCATGAAAACTTGGCTTATTAGGCAAATCAGGCCTTGCATAGTAGGCTGAGAAGTGCGTTCTGGCTACTAGGTACGACACATATATATATATACATATATATATACATATATATATATACATATATATATACATATATATATATACATATATATATACATATATATATACATATATATATACATATATATATACATATATATATACATATATATATACATATATATATACATATATATATACATATATATATATATATATATATATATATATATATATATATATATATATATATATATATATATATATATATATATATATATATATTTTTTTTTTTTTTTTTTGGGTACCACCTCTGGTGCCAATGTGGGGACCCATAGCCTCGGAGAAGAAAATAAAAAGTATTCATATATATATATATATATACATACATACTGTACATACATACACAGTATATAGTACAATAATAAAATAGTATTGTATACCCTCACCTTTAATAAACAATATAATTTATTGAAACACTGAAATTGTGTTTTACTTTAAACTCCATTATCCTTTACCTGAGCATCATGTGCAGAATTCCAGTTAAACCATGGGCTGCTCCCAGATATTCTGTCCCGTAATACTGGTACATGAGTGGGATGCGGCTCTTGTGAGAAGCATAATTCTGGCCGGATTCAACCATGGCATCTAATAAGGCATTGACTGCAGACTCGCCTAATACCTGCAACATAAATGGGATCAAAACTGCTTAGGATGGGGGCTAAAAGGTGCCTACCAAAGAAGGCTGTGTTGAGGAATGGCTAAAGAATTACAGTACTAAAGCACGGTTAAAGAAACCTAAAATATTTCTAACGAAGACTAAAGGATGGCTAAAGCAGGGCTAAAGAAGGCTAAAGCATAGCTAAAGAAGTCTAAGGCATGGCTAAAGAAGTCTAAGGCATGGCTAAATTAAAATAAGGTGAGGCTAAAGAAGTCTAAGGCATGGCTAAAATAAAATAAGGTGAGATTATTTCTTTAGACTAAAGAAGTCTAAGGCATGGCTAAAATGAAATAAGGTGAGGCTAAGACATGATGGCTGAAGGAAGCTAAGGCATGGCTTACCAACTTCATCACTTTTTTAAAAACAGTAACCAGCTATTCAGACAAAGGACTTCCAGAAGATGTAGCATACACGGACTTTGCTAAAGCTCTTGATAAGGTACCACATGAAAGACTGACAAGGAAAATACAAGCACATGCAATAAATGGTTGACTACTAGAATGGATAAATCAACAGTTAAGGCAAAGAAAGCAACGAGTCATCCTAAGCACAAATGAGCACCACAAGGTTCCAATTTGGGGCCAACCCTTTTTGTCATATACTGTACTATACAAAGGAAATACAGGGAGGAGCAGCGGAGGAATCAAGTTCAAACATCGGAGGATAGGGAATATCTCCCATTTGAGCTCAGAATATGCAGTAAAGGATCCAAGTCAAATACACATCCAGAGAAAAAAAAAAAGCTATGGTAGGTACTCTGAGAGGAAGCAAAGGCTCAACTGTTTCCTGCATCAACGTGGAAGAGGCAATTTCCAGAGAAGATCAATTTTCTAGATAGAAAACTACCACCTGAGGATCACATAAAGAACGTTGTGCGAGGAGCCTATGCTATGCTTTCTAACTTCAGAGTTGCTTTTAAATACATGGATGACGAAATACTAAAGAAATTGTTCACGACTTTTGTTAGGCCAAAGCTAGAATATGCAGTTGTTGTATAGTGCCCATATCTTAAGAAGCACATCAACAAACAGGAAAAGGTGCAAAGACATGCTACTCAGTAGCTCCCAGAACTGAAGGGCAAGAGCTACGAGGAGAGGTTAGAGGCATTAAATATGCCAAAACTAGAAGATAGAAGAAAAATAGGCGAAATGATTACTACGTACAAGATAGTACTGTAACAGGAATCAATAAAATTGATAGGGAAGACTTACTGAGACCTGAAACTTCGAGAACAAGAGGTCATAGATTTAAACTATCTAAACAAAGCAGCCGAAGAAATATAAGAAAATTCGTTTTCGCAAATAGAGTGGTAGAAGGTTGGAATAAGTTAGGTGAGAAGGTGGTAGAGGCCAAAACCGTTAGTACTTTCAAAGCGTTATACAGTACGACAAAGAGGGCTGGGAAGACTGGACACCACGAGCATAGCTCTCATCCTGTAACTACACTTAGGTAATTACACTTAGGCAATTACGAGGAGCTACAGAGGCCACCCATATCATTAGATTCAACACTTGATTTCTGAGCTGACCTTCAGTAGCTCCCTAGTACAGTACATACTTCCAATGCTACCTTGGGGAAGAAATCATCTTTGGACTGAAATAGACCACTCTAATAGACAAACAGAGGCAAACAAAAATGAAAGGGCTAATAAGAAATAAAGAACATAAGTATATAATTCTGATATTAAAACATTCACTGATGCATCCCATATTGTATACTGGTCCGTCAAATTACCCAAAGCTACCCAAATTTACTCTACTCTAATTTAAGCTACCCAAAGCTTCCTAGCATATAATATATTTACTCACTATATTGTTAGTGTTGAATGTAGAACATAAAAAAACATATTTTTTACTCTGAAATAATATAAATTTATAACGAAATTAGATGCAACTAAGTGGCACGAGAGGCCATAGGAAGTTGACGATCCAAGCGACAATGTTGTGGAGCGACTTATCCAAGATGAACAAATAATTCAAGGCATATTATTGCCTAGAGGTTATATTAAGTTATGTTTGGATAGGTTAGGTTTAGTTAGGTTTAGTTAGGTTAGGTTAGGTTAGGTTAGGTTAGGTTATGTTTGGGTAGGTTGGTTAGGTAAGGTAAGTCCAAGAGGCTCATATGCCAGCAAATATTGTTGCTTGGATCATCGACTTGCTCTGGCATCACCAACTTCTTATTTTCGTCTAATTTCGTTATAAAATGATACTTTTTCAGAGTAAAAATACGTTTTATCATGTTCTACATTCAGCACCAACATTATAATGAATAAATATATCATATTTATTCATTACTAACATAATGCTAGGAAGCTTTGTGTAGCTTTGAATAAGTTTGGGTAGCTTTGGGTAACTAGACGGACCCTTGTACTATCACAAAAATAAAGAATGCTAAATTATTTTTTTATGTGGGGTCATTTATATATACATATAAATGAATATGACCCTAAGGAGTGGCCAGGAATCTGATAGATAAAAAAAAACTACCCCTTGTGCATTGAGATGGCTCAGCCCCACATACAGTAGTTCTTTCAAGTTAAATCACACTCTTTGCACATTCGTCTCACTTCAAGAAAAATGTATGATTATAACATAAATATTTTACTGCAAAATGAACTTGATCTTAAACAATATTATTTACTAAATAAAAATATCCTTTTAAATAAAACAGGCAACTGAAGAAGGCAGCAATTATACTTGCATCATGATTAAGTTCAGAACGAAGCCAGAGTACTCCAGCGAGGTAACCTGAGCGTCCAACAAGAAATTCATCACCGCCACGTGAGTACCAATTCAATGGGGTTAAAATGGCAGCCAACTGTGAAAATTCTGATATGTACTTTTCTGATTCTTTCATATTTCCTGGAATAGAAGAATGCAATACTGTACTGGTATACTCAGCTTGCACTGTTTTGTATTTCAGTCAAAATACTGTACAGTACATACTGTACTGCACATACATACATTTTCAGTATACAAAATACAGTATGTTAAAGCACATACTGTATTTTCACTCGGGTGTGCAAACAGAGTTGTATAGTTGTAGACAGTCAGAACAAGAGAGAAGGTGGTGAAAATCAAAACCGTCAGTAGTTTCAAAGCGTTATATGACAAAGTGTGAGGAAGACAGGACACTACAAGCGTAGCTCTCATCCTGTAACTACGCTTAGGTAATTACACAGACACATCAGAAAAGAGGAGGATTACAGAATGGTCTAGATGACTTTTATCAAGCAAGAGAGGTAGTCTGAGAAGTAGGTGAGAAGTGACTTTAATCCAAGTTAATGCAATGTGATTAGATTTGGTATTAGGGTATGGAGACAAAGGTATTATGTACAAGATGATGGGAAGACAAAATGCTGGAGTCTGAAAGGACAAAAACTGGGAGTAAATATAACCCCAAGCTTGTCATCATAGGCACATATTAACATGATAATATTAGCAACAAATGCAAAGCTAATGAACATTCCTTAGTCTCCAAGTACCCTGTACGTGTATCTGGAAGGAATTTTTTCAGAATGTTGTACACTACCTATGTTAGATTAGTACCTGTATGTAGTATGAAGCCCCGTGTGGAATCTCCATCTAAAATTGCATAAAGCAAAACTAGAGAAATTACAGAGGTCTGCTTAATGAATGACCACTGGAATACCTAAATAAGCCATGGGAAAAGACTAAGGAATCTAGACCTCACCACATTGGAAACAGAAAGGTAAGAGGTAACATGTTTATATACAAGATTCTTAAGAGGCAATAATAATAATAATAATAATAAATAATAATAATAATAATAATATTTATTTACAAGAAGGTACAATGGGATGGTGAGATTACATACGATTGGTATTTTTACATTCTTGCAAAGCCACTAACACACACACACTGCATTTCAGGCAGGTCCTTAATCTAACATATGAGGTAAGATGAAAAGTTACATTGTAGCAAAATGTATATCAACATATAACTTCAATATAAATTGACAGAGGTGATCACACTGGTGAAGATATGTCTTCACTTTGCAATGGCAAAGTGAACAAAAATAAAATGTTTAGCAAGAACATTGTAGAGAAGAGGACTTGGGTGGAAATTAGAAATTCAGATGGACCCTTGAGATGTAAAAAAAAAACATTTCTTCAGCATAAAATTAGTGAACAAGTGGACTAAGCTTAAAGGGAAGGTAGTTGAGGCTAAATATATACACAATCTCATGAGTGAATAAATACGATAATGTAAAAGATCAGGAGCCAGTGCAATAGGTGACCAGTGATTGGAGAAGCTGAAGAAATGATCCAACATGTGGCTACTAAATACTAATTCCAACAATTGCAAGGTTCTGAAACTGAATGTAAGGAACAAGATGCTAGACACAAGGTACTAAATGCTAAAGAATAAAAAAAACTTTATGTCTCCCAATGCCTACACCAAATGGATATTATCAACTACACATATAAGGTTGGCCAACATTCAAAATGCCTTCAAAAACCTTAATAAGGAATCATTCAAGACCTTATATACAACAAATGTTTGATAAATTTTGGAATGTTTAGTGCCAGTGTGGAGGTTCACATCTTGTGAAACACAAAAAAACCAGCGTTGAATGTAATGAAACGCCATTTTCTGGGTGAGTCCCGGAGGCTCCCCGGAGCTATCCCAGGCTGATATGCTAATGTCAGACTTTGGCATCAGTCATGTGTATGGAGTTCTTAGGCCTACCGGGGACCACGGCCAGAACCGGGCCCCCTCAGAGAGGCAAGGGGAGCAATGGCCTATAGAAGCCCCCGTGTAGTTGGAAGCATTCTATGTCTGCCATCGACCGGAACAGGCACCCAGAAAGGTAAGCGCCCCAAAACAAACCCCTATTCTGGTTAAAATTGCTACCTAAAACCGAACTAGTGGATAGAACTCCCCTACCGAAAACAAGCAAACTAGTGTGACGTCACACACTGCCGCGCCGCTGTCTGCGCAGCTCCCCCCTCCCCGGGAGGGGGAAGGGGGAGCCCCAGACCCCCCGCGCCGGCTACCCACACCTCAGTTCTTGAGGCTGGATGTCAAAAACGCGAAAAACCGCCGACCGGAGGGAGGGAGGGATGCCGGGGAGCCTCCGGGACTCACCCAGAAAATGGCGTTTCATTACATTCAACGCTGGTTTTCTGGGGGGAGCCCCGTCGGCTCCCCGGAGCTAACTACCCACAGACAGAAAAAGAGGGACTTACCCGGGAGGCGGTCGTCGCTCACCCCTCAACTCGAAGCCGAGACAACTGGCTGCAACCGCCGACCCAAAGCAACACAGGCCCGACGAGGCCCAGGGACATTCACAAGGTAATGAGCAGCCAGGACCCTGTTCGACCACCAAAATCCCCGCGCCCGAATATCAGACCAAGACATATTCCCAAAGACGGCAGCAAGAGCCGCGAACTTACGAACGTCATGGGCACGGGGATAGACCGCAGGCTGGCTGGACCTAATAACCCTGCGGACGACCTGAGAGACCCGAACCCGCGAACAGGGAAGAAGGGAAACCGGATCAACCCACAGCGCGTCCCCGGACACAGAAGCTGTGGCGCGCAAATAACGGCGAGGCGCCGCAACCGGACACAAAACATGATGCACCCCCGGCCTGACCAACCAAGCATCAACCACCCATGGACCCCTCCGGAACGCAGCAGTCTCATTCTTCGCCAGAAAAGAAGGAGACGGCTGCAAACGAACAAAACTATCACCACGACCAAAAGAGCAGAAACCCCTGCGCCGGAGGAGAGCATGAAGCTGCCCTACCCGACCCCCAGAGGCCAAAGCCAACAAGAAAAGTGCCTTGAAAAAACAATCCTGGACCGAAGGGGCCACAACGAAACGAGGAGATGAAAGGAAAGCGAGCACTCTGTCCAAAGACCAGGACGGCTCAGGCGACGCATGAGCAGGCCGGAGGTGAAACAATGCACGAGACAGCTTGCGAAACGGCGCAGACGTAACATCGATACCGAAAGCAAGCTGAAGCGGCTCCACCAGCGCCACACGATACGAAGCGACAGTGTTAGGCATAAGATGACGGTCCTGAAACAACCACGAGAGGAAGGACAAGACCACCCGAACAGACAAAGAGCTAACACGACGAAGACGCAAAAAGAAACGGAAGGACCGCCAGGAAACTTCATACTGCCACCGAGAAGAAGCCCTCAGGTGGGACACCAACAAGGAGGCCACCTGATCACCATAGAGATGATGATAGACTCGAGTCAAGAAAACCATACGCGAAGACTCGAGGAGAAGATCGAACCAGCAACGTGACGTACCGGCCCGATCTGCTGAAAGAGGCGGAGCCGCGGGAAAACCCTCGGGTTCGGACACCGAGCAACCAGCGCCTGAAACCAAGGCTGGGCCGGCCACCAAGGGGCCAGAAGAACTCTCCCCCGGTAAGTCTCTAAGCGAGTCAGGACCTGGAGCAACAGCCGAACCGGGGGAAAGAGGTACAGGAACCCCCACCTCGACCAGTCGAGCCGAAAGGCATCGACCCCGACGGCCTCGCAATCGGGGAAGGGCGCCGCATAAACGGGAAGACGCCGCGACCACGCCGACGCGAAGAGGTCCACTTCGGGGCGCCCGAACGTCTGGCAAAGACAAAGGAAGGACTCGTCGTCGACCGTCCACTCCGTGGAGAGGGGAACGAAGCGAGACAGGGCGTCGGCCAAGACGTTGGACACGCCCCGTACGTGAACCGCCAGGAGAGCCAAACCCCGAGAACTCAGCAGACGAGTCACCCGAAGCGACCAACCCCAAAGAGACAAGGACCGCATCGAACCCCCGCGGTTCAGGCAATGAACCACCGGAGAGCAGTCCGAATGGAGCCGAATCGTCGATCCGCGGGCCACCCGAATCCTCCCCAGAGCAAACCACACTGCCGCGAACTCCCGCACCGTACTGTGAGCTCGACGGAAGGACGGATCCCAACGCCCCTGGCCGGCCTGGTGAGCACTGGTCACAAAACCCCAGCCGAGAGACGACGCATCCGTGTACACATCGAGCGAGGGCTCGGGTAGGCGCCAAGGCACTGAACCCCGAAAAACCCGAAGAGGAAGCCGGTGACGCAGCAACCGAGGGTCCTCCAGAAACAGACGAAGGCGGGACCGCAGCCGCAGGAGAGACTCCAGAGGGAGAGACAAGGAGGCGGTTCGAGAGTTCCACACGAGACCCAGCCAAGTCCGAACCTGAGAGGGAACCAGATGGGACTTCCTCCAGTTCACCAAGAACCCGAACCCGGCGAGCTGGGAAAGAACCAAATCCCTGGCTAGCAAGCAAGCTGACTGGCTGGGAGCCCAAACCAGCCAGTCGTCGAGGTAGGCCAACACCCGAACACCTAGGAGACGCAAACGAGCCACCACAACCCGTGTAAGGCGTGTGAACACGCGAGGTGCCAGGTTCAACCCGAACGGGAGACAACGAAAGCGGTAACTCAGACGCCCCACTACAAAACCGAGCCAGTCCCTGAACCGAGGATGAATTGGGACATGCCAATAAGCGTCCCGGAGGTCCAGGGACACCATCCAAGCTCCCGGCTCCAAGAGGAGCCGAACCTGAGACAGCGTCGTCATCCGAAAGGAGGGGCAATGAACCCAGGGGTTCAGACGGGACAAGTCCAGAATGAACCGCAGGTCCGCGCAGTCCCGTTTCGGAACCGGAAACAGACGGGAAACCCATCTGAGGGACGACGTCGTTTCGACGACGCCCAAGCGTACCCACTCCAAGACGACTCGACAGAGCGCAGGGGAAGAAGCCTGCCCTGCCAGCCCCGACCCCCCAAAGGGGGGAGGGGCCACCCAACGCCACCGCAGGCCGCGAGACACGACCCGAAAGGCCCACGAATCGTGGGACCAGGCGCGGGCGAACAGCGCAAGCCGCCCCCCCATCGCCCCGTCAAGGGGGCAAACCGCGAAAGGGCCGGCGACCCTTACGAGACCCAGAACCCCGTACAGCGCGAACACCGCGCCGACCAGACGAGGGAGGGTCCGCAGGAGGAGCCAACCCCAAACCTGACACCAGAGGCCTACCACGACGAGAGGAACCCCGAGCCCTGGCACGACCTTTCCGGGAAGACCCACCCCGGGACCCCCGGAAAACCAACAAGTCCGACATCGGACGACAAGCCGCCGACGCAGCCTGAATAAACTGCGCCACGGCCGACTCCCCAAACAGGAGAGGACAAAAAGGTGAAGAACGCCTAAGAGCCACAGCCCAAGCAGATTCCACGGAGGAACCCAGCACCGCCTGCCGACACGCGAGACGGGAAGCATAGAACAGGGAAACCGCATCCCGCAAAATCGGCGTGAACAGCTTCAACAAGGCAGCCGACGAACGCGCAGCCGAGGACAAGGTGCCGGACCCCGGGACGGACCCAAGCGTCCCCACATCCTCCACGAGCCAATCGGAAGACAGCTCCAGGAGGGAAAAGAACCGCAAGGCCGAACACAAAAGGCCCCGAGCGCGCAAGTCCTCCGCCACGAGCGCTGCCGAAAGGGAGGGAACCTGCACATGGAGCTGAAGAACGCCCACATCGCGGGGAAGGGCAGGGGCAAACAAGCACTCATTCAGGTACTCAAGTTCACCCCCCAGGAAAACCTGAAGCACCGTGGAAGCTTCCCGCCACTCCAGCGTGCGGGAACGACAGAAGGAATGCCAGGAATCCAGACCAAACCTCTAAAGCTGAACCCCAGGGACGTGTACACTCACGGGGACCTAGCAGGGGGCGCCACCGAGGAGAACAGTGGAAGGGCAAAAACAAACTGAATAAAATGACAGAACCCCCCACCAGGCAAAAAGAAAAAGAAAAACAAAACCCCGCAAGAGGACAGCGAACCCCAAGGAACAGAGCCGGCCGCGATGTCGGGAAATACAAGCTGAGCAGCACCCTGCACCCCTACCAGTGCAAACTGCCTCTTACCTGCCGGTAACAAGGGAGAACAGAACACCCAAGAGCCCAACAGGCGGCCGAAAAACCGAAAGGTAAAACGGACCAGCAGAGGCAGACCCCGAGGAGCCTGTGGAAGGTGGCCCCAAGCCCCAAGGGCAGTACTTACAGGGCACCTAGGGAAGGCAGCCCTAGGCGCATGCAGCCCGAGTACTGAAGATAACTCCTGGCTCTCGCACCCACAAAACTAACACCACACACAAAGCACAGTGCAGTAGCGACACCGGAGCCAGAGCACACGACCATCGCCTATAGCATCAGCCTCAAGAACTGAGGTGTGGGTAGCCGGCGCGGGGGGTCTGGGGCTCCCCCTTCCCCCTCCCGGGGAGGGGGGAGCTGCGCAGACAGCGGCGCAGCAGTGTGTGACGTCACACTAGTTTGCTTGTTTTCGGTTGGGGAGTTCTATCCACTAGTTCGGTTTTAGGTAGCAATTTTAACCAGAATAGGGGTTTGTTTTGGGGCGCTTACCTTTCTGGGTGCCTGTTCCGGTCGATGGCAGACATAGAATGCTTCCAACTACACGGGGGCTTCTATAGGCCATTGCTCCCCTTGCCTCTCTGAGGGGGCCCGGTTCTGGCCGTGGTCCCCGGTAGGCCTAAGAACTCCATACACATGACTGATGCCAAAGTCTGACATTAGCATATCAGCCTGGGATAGCTCCGGGGAGCCGACGGGGCTCCCCCCAGAAAAAGTTGGAGAACTCCAGAGGTGTATGACTAGACTAGTCCCAGAGCTGAGAAATTTGAACAACAGGGAAAGATTAAAAGAATTAAACCTCATATCACTGGAAAAAAAGAAATCAGAAGAGATATGATTTACACACACACAGATCCTCAGGGAACAAGACAAGGCAGATAAGGACAAACTACTTGGATTGGTTGGTACAATCACAAGGGAACACAGATGAAAACTAAGTATCCATGTGCGTCTCAGACATTATAAAGAATTTGTTCAATGTCAGAAAAGTGAACAAATCAAATGACTAAGAAGTGAAGTAGTAAATGCAGACTATTCACACCTACAAATGTAGATGAGACAGGGTCCAAAATGCATGTCGAGAATAGGAAGAGTAATAGATAAAGAAAAGAATCTAGTAATATCATAGATGTAGAAGGAGGGAAGGGAAGGGAACTGTTATGAGAAAGAACCTTGCCATTATGACTATACTGTTAGCACTTGGAAGGAAGCACACCTCAAAGAAAAAGAATGTCCTGACTACAAAAGAATTGTCAGGTACAAGAAGAGGGAAAAATTGCTGCTCCCCACCCCCACAAGAAATGATTCTGAACATGGCAAAATATGTCAAATACTAATCCTGGGCAGGACAGAAATGGTTGGACACATTTCCTTTCACCTAATACTGCTATTCAACTAGCAGTAAGAAGGTACTCAGAAGTTAGTCAGCTTGCTGTGGGGTTGCATCCTGGGCAGGGTAAGTAATTCGACCTTGAACCTCAATATAAGCCTAACATGTATGAATACAGTCAAAATGTATGAATACACCCTGCCTTCCTGTCCCCGAACACAATGAATTATTATTATTAGAGGTAGAAAATTACAGAAGTCAGAATTGAAGGTGTACGGAGTTTGCATTTGCCAAAGAAAGATACAATTATTTCTCTGGGAAATACCAGTGCTTGTGAAATATGCAGACTTACCTAGTGCATGAAATAATGCAGCTGCCACAGCATATATGCCAGCATTGCCCAGTAAAAATGCAACAATATCAACCTTCCTGCCACGAGCCCTAGTATGGTTGGCATTCTCTAGTGCAGGTTTCAAATATCCCATTGCATGCTCATTAAGAGACCCAGTGACTGAGGAGTATTTTTCCAAATATGAAATATGGTGAAAAATTTTAAACAAATCTCTCATTATTTGCCAACAGCATCGTGAAATTTTCATCCCAATATGTTAAGAAATTATTTTTTTTACAAATTTCTAAAAAAATAAATGCGTACATGACGGGCAGCAACTGGTACTATTAATATCGATAACACCTCCTATTTACTAGAAATCAGGGATAAAGAGATGCAAGCACCTGTTCGACGCACAAAGTACTGCACAGTAGTATTAAGGAGGGTCCACAAAGTGGATATGCAGCTAGTGCCACCTGGAAGGCCAGATTTCACACAGAATAATGAGTTAGTATGTTATTATGCTCTATTATATTATACAGCTTATCATATAAATACATTGCCCCAATGGCAATATTTCTTATGCCCCTTTGTACGAAAAGCTGACAACCACTATTTTTTCTTTCTCTCTCTCTCCTTTGTTTTTATGTGGATTTTGTTGTAACTTCTACATCGTAGAGAATGTATATCCGGCACTAAGCATGTGAAGTTGGAGCGAAATTGGTCAACACTTTAATCACCCACAGATGGCAGAAGTTGTGACTTTTATTTTTGTTTGGGTCAATTTATTTACAGAATTTAAACTCTATTCTCTTTGTCTCTTTAGGTTGTACTGATGAATGAGGACCAAATGAGCGCCTTATCACTTATATATGGGCAATAAAGTTACTGCAATATATATGTTTGTTATCCCAATCCTATCGCTGTATTTTTTGTTTTTTTGGAGGGTTATTTTTTCTCGACTATTTCAACACACATTGATCTACAACTTTCCCATATTCGAGTACGAATGTCAAGCAATGTTTATTAAAACATACAAGAAAATTCATTAATTAGAACTACCATATTTATTGTCAATAACTTAAATTTCAATTATCTCTAAAAAAAATTTCAACTTTGAGACAGCTTCAAAAATTTAGTTTCTGACCGATTCTCACCATTTTTACATATGTGCAAAGTGCTTAGTACTAAGGTTTCCTCACTCTCGTTTAGTAATAAAACCATAACTTTCGGAGTTATAAATTTTTTGAGTCTAAATTTTGCACATACTATTTGGATGGCCATATTGAAAAAATCTTTTACAGTAAACTATACTCTCAAACAATATTTTTCAACAAGGAAACTGAATGTTATATGCCATTCTGAGACCATAATGAATAAAATAACATTTGGTGACATTTTAATATTTTTAAAGCTAATTTGAAATTTTGAAATTTTGAAATTTTTTTCTATTTTATTTTTAACTTTTTTTTTCTGTTCATGGTATGATGTTGATCCATTAGGAAAAGTTGAAGCATTTACCATGAAGATACTATTCACAAACAAGGAAAAATTGAGTGTGTTTGAGGAAGTTTCGGTGCACCGTCACCGGACCCCTTAACTGTACAGCAGCAATTACAGAATTAACATTACAGGAAAATGCAGAAAGGTTATTCTCACTTACAAAATGTGTAGAACAGTTATTCTTATGAAAACATGAATGGTCTAGAAGAGTGTTTCAAACTGATTAGCGTGCATTGCATTATTCACAAAGTCATAGAGAAGCCCTTTATGACTTTTAGGGCATAGTATATTTAGTCTAAGGTGAACATAATTAATTTTGAAGACATGTGTGCAGCAATTTATTTCCTGTGTAAATATTTAAATTACAAATGCAAGGTACTACTTGATGGGTCTCTGACATCACTTCAGTTGTTGCATAATGTAATGTATTTAATTTAAACGCTATGTGACTTGCCCAAAACGCTATGCATACTAGTGGCTTTAGGTATTGTATGTACTATCTCTTTCTTTAAATCAAACAGAATGTTTGTACTGTAACTCTGCAACTATGTATGTATTTTCCTAAATAAATTATTATTATTATTATTATTATTAAAGAGGACAGGTGACATTATGGCTACCTATGATTATAATAATATTAATAATAACTATTATTTTAAAAATACATAGAACAACATAAAACCGTGGTAAATCGACTGTTACAAAGTACAGTACAGTATGGATATTTAATGAAGCCAGGAATACTTAAAGAGTTTTGGGCATAACATTTGGTAAACTCGGATAAGCACAGGTAAAATAATTCAGTTAAATTATTTAGAAATTGAATGGGATAAACACTTAATTAGTAGGCAAATAAAATTAGTAGACAATGATTTTTCACTAATTATAGGGTTGGGGGGGGGGAAGGGGAGGGGAGAGTTACTGTTGTAGTCAACCCCCTTGTTAATGGAATCGGTAGGACCAACCCCAACCAGTCTATGTCTATCCTGTACCACAGACCATTCACCCTGCACATTTGTGTGGCTAGCCCTGAGCGTCTGGCCTCAAACCTGGGACACGCAACATTCTTTTATTTATATATATATATATATATATATATATATATATATATATATATATATATATATATATATATATATTTATTTATATATATTATATATTATTAAGACTGGGGAAGGTATACCTTGCCATCCTTGGCCCACTTCTGAGTGATGGTCTGCACAGCCTCTAAGGTCTTCCTCTTGATCTCGCCCTTATCTGTAGTGACGTCTCCTCCGGTGTAGTCCGGCAGGTTGTTCACGAAGTACCGCTTCGGGCAGAACATGCTGCGTCCTCCGCCTATATTGAATTTAGCGGAGAAAACTAACTTCCTTTTTTGTTATTATTTTTTTTGGTCAGCAAGGAGCCTCTTGCGTCCGTCCGTCTTGGCTGACAGCTCTAGGCAGCGTCTTGGGGGCTGCTTAAGGCCCTTCACGTACCTATTTGTATTATTTACATCAATCGTATTTTATACTGACGTTTTTAGGTGCATTTTGGTGTAATTTTAATATTGGTTTCGAGGGAAATTTACTTTATTCTGTTGACAACAGATGCATTCTAAATTGACACAACAGTTTGTTAAATGATGTCATATTTTTAATTTGTAGGATAATATTCCGTTTAAATTTATATTTATGTCTTTAAAATACAATACAATGCTTTAGTAAATTTGTATAAGCTTACCAATATACATTCCGTCACTTTAGAACGCACAGGAGAGGAAAATGGCTGACTCTGTGAGTACCGAAGAGAGTCCAATATTGGCCTTCTTTCACCCTTGTCCCTGGGTACCCGCCGCTGTCTCTAGCCTCTAGTGTGCCATAGTGTCACCCCCACTGCACACTAGGCCACACTAGTGTGATAAATTCGTGTTTTAATGATTTTGGGAGGGCGTATTGTGATGGCGTCGCTCACGGTGTGAGATTCTGTACGAGTGGCAAGATTTACCCAAATGTAATAAGTTTATCATTTGTGAGCCGTCGTGTAGTTCGCTATTGACGGCTGGTGGAATGTGTGTGTCTCATTATATTTTGGTTCGTGTGTTTGTGGGAGATATAATAAAGTGTCGGTCATTCCCGCATGATAAATACGCTACGCGTCTCCAGTTTTATCATTCTAAAGTTCGTAAAGTGGTTCATTACGTAATAAATATAGAAGTACGGTGAATGAAACACAGTGTATATAATAGTTCAGTGGCTAATACATCGTACATGCACATTTTTCTTTTTGAAGTATATCCTGAAGGCATACAGAAGCCTTGTTAGTAGTTTCGGGACAATTCGCCTCTAGCCAACTCACTGAAACTAAAACAGATGTAATAACCAAATATATCCTAGTGTTTACTACAGCAAAGGTAACCTTAGCTCACCTTCCTCATCCAAATGGTCCGGAAAACTGTGGCGATAAGGCGGCTTGTCTTGAGGCCTCGTGTCTAATGTGACTTAAGAGTTTAGGCTATCATCCCATTGACAACTTTCTCAATTTAACTATAGTCCTGCTAGCCTAAGATAGCCACTGCTGGTGTAGACGATTACGACGGTGACGAGAACTTCATAAAATCGATGACGCTCGACGCACCCCTGATCTCTTGAAGTGTTGCTTATAGAGTCATTCCCTGACTGCCTAGAACACCAAACAATAATAATAATAATTTGTAGGCCTATGGTTCGTGAGAAAGGATTTTCTTGAAACATTCAACTACTGCTAGAAAGAGGCTCCTTGAACTAGTGCTACAGTGTCAGTGGATAAAGAACAGAATTCAATGTGACATGTCTTAATCATGGTAGGATAAGTTAGAATAATTCACTTAATGTTAGTAAGTGAACGAGTGGAGTAGAAATTGAAAGTACCCGGAGAGCGGATTAATGAGTGAAGAGCGTTAAAGTGTCGGCACAAAAGTCGTCGACCAGCAGCTATCCAAGTGCCTCCATAGGTCTAGCTGCTGCTCCAACAAAAGGGCTCGTCTTGACAGCTAAGTGGGATACAAATGTAGTATGAATTAGATACTGTATTGTACTGTTAATACTGTAGCTGAAAACAAATAACACAACGACGAGTAACATACAGTATGTACTAACCTTGGGTACAGTACACACTCCCCCTAGGGGTTAGCAGCCCTTCACTACCTTGCTCAGTAGCGTGCTAACACAGGAATATTCATAAACTTGTTGGGAGGAAAATTGTATACATCGTGTGTGTGTATACAATACAGCATATACACCGTATTTATTACACTAGGAAAGTTTCACTTAATAAAAAGAATACTATAATGACAAAATAAATCTTAAGGTTTATACTTTAGCTATAGCCTACAGTACAGATACTATTTACTATGTTTGTAGAGGCAGTTTTCAAGGAGGGCTCCAATGGTGGCTCTTTGATGCTTGCTACCTTGCGAGCTCCACCCACTTCAATCCATTCCAGGCCCTTGCGAGTCGGGTATAACCTTTCCGAGGACCAGAGGCCAAAGGGCAAACCCTGCCCCCCCCCCCTTCCTTTAAAGAGGCTGTGGAGCATCAAGGATTTACAAGGAAGCTTAGATCACCTTAACCAAGAAAAGTCACCAATGAGCTGGGCAAATGAAAACAAATAGCAAGTTAAACAAAGCATATAAAAAGGAATGGTGAAGCCCAGAGAATCACAAACCACCTAGGTATGAAGCAGTTCTCTCATTAGTTCCATCTGCACACCACCAGGGGACTGAAGACCTTTCTCTATCCACCAATCTTGAACTCTCATTCATATAGCCATGAAAATGGAAAATTGAAGCCCTTGAATGGGGAAGGGAGGGTCTTGAGGAACCGCTAAGGACTCGCTATAAATGGTGTTTTAGTGTCTCACTATTGAAAATATAAAAGACATTCTCTGGAGGTGGAGGAGAGCCACAGAAAGTAACCCCCAGAAAAGAGAAAGATGGTGATGAGTTAACTTCCACAAAGCAACAGAAACCCAGTGAGGAGTAAAAAGAGCATCACCCCTCACCAGCACTAGTGGTGTGAAGGTAACAGCCACAACCAGACAATAAATGGCATTTGCCCAGTAGCCAACCAAGCATCAAACACCGGGCAAATATGACTGCTGGTTTAACCCTTGGACAGCAGCTATAGAAAAATTGTCATTCCTGCTTATGCGTAAAAAATTACAAAAATAATTTTGTTTATAGAATTTATAATTTGTATGCAATATGTAAGAAAAGCATGAAAATACAGTAAGTGAATATGTATTTTTTGTGTGGTCTGGCATCTGTCAATACACAATGCTCGACTTTGCTGACATTGAGGTATATCTTGAGGTTATCTTGAGATGATTTTGTGGGCTTAACGTCCCCACAGCCCGGTCCTCAACCAGGCCTCCTTTTTGTTACACACCCCCAGGAAGCAGTCCATAGCAGCTGTCTTAACTTCCAGGTACCTATTTACTGCTAGGTGAACAGGGGCATTAGGGGGAAAGAAACTGTCCATTTGTTTCCGCCTCCACCAGGGATCGAACCCCAAACTTCAGGACTACGAAGCCGAAGCACTGTCCACTTAGCTGTCAGGCCTCTATGTGAGACACGACTTCAGTGTTCTCGGATGTTTCACTGATTGTTTATCTCTTGTTTCTCTTTATTCATAAGAGTATGTGTGTTGAATAACTTCATAAATCACATGATAATGTTTCAATTGATGATTGGTTTACCTGGTATATTTCATTACAACCATATATAGTAGAGAAAGCATATAAACATAATATACAATGATGTTGGGCTCTGGGTGATGACACATGGCCTAATAGGCACCATATGGGTGAGAGTATAGATTAAAACAAAGGCAGAAGCAACCAAATGTGCCACCCACAGATGACAGCAGACTCCTAGTGCATGTATCATGTGATAATGGTTCAATTGATTATGGGTATACCATAATACCATATAATGAGTATACCATATAATGAGGTATACCTCATTACAACCATACGGAGTTGTGAAACCACATGAACCTCATTGGTATATGTACGTAATTATGAAGGCGTTTTATGCAATGACGATGACCATATTTACCTAGTAACATACATAACGATAACCTCATTCATATGAAATGAACAGAATGTTTTCATGAGTCAAGGTAAACTCCATTACATCCACAGAGAGCTATTATATCCTTATTTGCATCATATATGTAAAAGCCAGACAATAATTGTTTAAATTGTTGTATAACAATAACTGCATTGCCACATGAATCAACAGATGACAATAACCGTTGTCTAAGAGTTAAGGTTGGTGGATCGAGGAAGAATATGCTCAGTCCTGTGGTAGGGAATTCTCCTAACAGTAACAGGAGAATTGCTTCATTACCAAGAGGTTCATGACTCTTGGGGCTTCGCAGTCCCATTCACTATGCTTTATTTGCCTTTTTGGTTGTCTATTTTGGTTTGTCCTCCTTTCTTGTGGTCTGATCTTGGTTATGGGGATGTATAATCTTGTGTATAAGATTTTAGAACCTCTATATAAGCCTAATATGCATATATATACACTAGTGGGGGACAGGCATTGCTGCCTGTCCCCCAATAATGAATTATTATAAAATTATATCCACCACAGCCCAGTTAGTGTTGAACTTCTTGCAAGAATGTTTCTAATTGTTTCTTGAAGTCCACATTTCTTCTGGCAATATTTCAAATACTTGCTGGAAAAGTATTGAACAGTCGTGGGCCTCTGATGTTCTGACAGTGCTCTCTGATTGTGCCTATGGGACCTCTACTCCTCACTGGTTCTATTTTACATTTCCTTCTATATCTTTTGCTCCAGTATGTCGTCATTCTACTCATTCTAAACTGAAATTCTACTGTGCAAATTTGAGACTTGCCTAGTATCTTTCATGTATGTACTGTACTGGGTATGTACTGGTTTTAAAATTAATGGGAATTCTACTAAGGCCAGTGTCGATCACTGACCCAAATCTAAGATGACCCTAAACCATGGACAAATTTTTGTAGATGAAAGGATTGAAAAATATAATCATAGAAACATTTTACAGTCAAGGAATGTGTTGCATTAATATTGAACATGACTACAGACAATGACACTCCAAACTTGGCAGCAGACATTACTGAGAGAATAGCAGTTAAAGAGAGGAGGAAGTCATAGGTTTGACCTTGGATGACAAGAGTAAAAAGCCAACTGGTACAGCAGGAAAGTCAAATTGGGGAATTAACATAGGAAAGAAGTTAGCAAATATGAAGAACAACAAGTGTTGGATAAAGCTGTGAAAAGGGGTAGGTAAATATATAATGGTAATGGTACACTTCAAATCAAATCAAATGAACAAATCTACAAGGGCCGTGACGAGGATTCGAACCTGCGCCCGAGAGCATCCCAGACGTTGCCTTAATCGACTGAGCTAATCGACTTGCCCTTGTGGATTTGTTCATTTGATGTATTACGCTATTGTGATTTCTGTGTGCAAATCAAATGTTTATTCAGGTAATAGTACTGTACATATATGCAAGATGAGTTACAAACGTAATGTTGCCTTTCTAGATAGAGCCAGTACATATAGTACAATGCCTAAAGCCACTTCTCATTACAATGGGTAATGAGAAGTGTAAGGAGGAAATAAAACAAACTTGATGCACAAGTGACTAGGGAAAAAGAATAAATTTAAAAAGTGAAGTTGAATGCAACAATAAAGTAGGAAATCGGAAAGGAACTGACAAATACAAAACTGATACAAAGCACTGTAGAGAGAATAATCTCCCT